TCGAAAAAACAAAATAAATCCAAATCAGCAGCAAAAGCAGCAAACCAAGCCCTGAAGCTATGCTTTTGTGCCAAACGGAAATTTGGTGGCCACCAGCAAATTCCAGATAATCCGATCGCCCGACCCCAGAGAAGACCAGGCCATAGCAGCTGACCAGAAAAGCTTACCAGCGAAAATAAATCCATACCAGCGGAAACCGGTAATTCATACCAGTGGAAAGGAAATCCATACCAGCGAAAATAAATCCGTATCAGCGAAAATCGGGCCCTGGAAATTGTGGTCCTGGGACCACCCCAGATCTGAGGCATTCTAGGGATTTAAAGTAATTTCCATTTGCTGGTTCAGGTCCGTTTTGGGTCCATGTCGTGGCTTTCCTGGTCTGTTTGGGGGTCCGTGGACACATTTTGGATGCTTTTGTCTGTTTCGTGCCAAGTTTTGTCCGTTTCGAGGCAGAATCGGCCACATGATTGAAGTTTTGCTGACTTTTGTGGCTTTTCTGGCCTTGTGTCATGGATGTTCGGAATTGTCTCTGATTATGTGGTCTTGTCATGCATTCCAAAGGATGAACCAGCTTTTTATGTGACATTGTTTGCCACGTTTAGCTGTTTTTGTGGACATGTCGACAGAACTTCTGAAGCAGCAGGCTTTGTGTGCAGCGAGTGTTCAGTTTCTGTGTTCACATGCAAGCAACCATGTCCTGGAGGCCAGGGGTCTAGGATGTCAGTTGATGTGGCATTGTTCGGTTGTTGCTGCTGAGAGTTGCAGGCCCAGCACAGGCAGTGACCAGGGTCAAGAGGGTCAGGGAGAGCGACAGTGCAACACATGTGCAGGCAGCTTCAATGTCCGGTTGCAACAAGACATGTTACAGCTCATGTGTGCAGTATTCCCTGGGACCAGGATGATAGGTCGTGCTGTTGTGTGGCTTGTTAGAGAGAAGCTTTTGCTTTGCAGTGTGAATCATGGATTCTGCTTCGGATGAGAGTCCAGAAGGCGGCGAGGGCAGTGCTTCTTTCCAAGACTTAGATGAATCCGCGATATGCAGCCCGGACCGAGCTCGTAAACGGGCGAGGTCTCGCGGCCCTGCGGCGTTCTTGCCGGGGCCAGGCGACTTGAACGAGGTCTTGTCCATCAGTCGTTCTCACGTGGACCACCTGCTTGACTTCGTGCCCACTTTGGGGTATGACAGCAGGGAGAAGCTTGTGCAGCTAGCAAATACAGATGTTGTTTTGACCTCCTGCTACAGTGGCACCGGCTGTTGCGAAGGCGTTGTCCAGGACATTTGGCGTCATCTACAGGGCAGGGTTGGGGGAGCTGGCAAACTTCACTGCTATGCGGCAACCGAGATCAACCAGTCTGCGCAGGCTTGTTTGCTAGGGCACAAGGAGCCCATTGGGCACGTTTTCCAGGACATCCTCGGAAGGTTGTCTTTGAAAGACAAGGAGAACCTGAAGCAGATAGAGGCCGAGCACTTGTCTGCGTACAAGAGCTTGCAGTCAGAGCTGGCTTTGGGTCAGATGGACAAAGGCGAGTTTCTCGCCAACAAGCAGAAGCTTGAAGCTGCGTACGTTGGTGTGCTGAAGGAGTACCTGTCTGATGTTGAGTTCATGGAGTCGGACTTTTGTCTCGTGCACCAGCAGAATTGCTTCATCTCTCCTCGCCGCGACCTCGACCACCAGCGATCATTGTGGGTGGAAGCCAGTGGCAACACCTGTTGCCCTTGGTCGGCCATGGCAAGAGCCGTTCAAACGGGTGGATGGCTTGATGTGGCTTCTTTGCCGTTCATGGTCTGGTGCTTCAGCGTTCGCTTCTATGAGCCCGACCTGATACTACAGGAGAATGTGTGCCGATTTCCGGAGCAGGAGCTGCTTGCCATCCTCAATGACTTCTCCGACGGCGTCCTCAAGGATCTTTGGACGAGGCCTTTTGATGCAGAAGAAGGCACTCAAAGGTGCTACAAGATGCAAGTGCATTCGTTCTCACCTACAGATCTGGGAATTCCGAGCAACAGACAGCGTCAGTATGCTTCGTTTTCTTTGAGTCCGTGGGTGAAAATTGAGACCGGCGCCCTGACCTTCGAGGCAATCTTTCATCGTTCGCGACGAGTGGGGCCGGAAGTCTATCTCAATGCGGTGCCGAACTCGGTCTTGATCAGTGAGATAAAGAGCGAGGCAAAAAATCGTGGATGGGATGGCACCAAAGTCTTGACACAACATGATGCTCTGAGTACAGGCAACAGGGGCCGACTGGAGAGCTGGCAGTGCTGGGCCAGCAGAGGAACAGCACTGAGGGACAAGAATGGCGTGTGGCAGCATCGGCTGGCCTTGGCAGATGTTACACAAAATCCGCGATTCAAAAACAGAGTCGATGTGGACTACATGCCTTGCCTGCTGACGCACACGGTGCTTTGGGATCTTGTCACGGACTCCATGGTGCCGGTTATGGCTCACTGGCTGGCCCAAGGCTTTCCTCACCCCAGCGCTGTGCTTCTCAGTCCAGACATTGCCAGATCCTTCCCGTTCGACCCGAGCTTGATTGAATATGGATCCGAGAGAGCCTTGCCTTTGTCAGCTCAACGAATACTGACGGGCAATGCAATGCATGGGAGTTGCATAGGAAGCTGGTTCCTGTTCAACATGGTCGGGACAGACACGACCAGGATTCAGGCCCACATGGATAGTCCCGTGGAGTCTTTGTCGTCGCTTTGAAGTTTGAAGTTGTCGTGAATCAACCATCAACTAGCCATGTCATGATCAGATGTAATTCATGAGAGTCGCCTAGACTGTACAGTCGGATCGTGAAGCCAGGAGCTAGGCCTTCGTGTTGTCTGTGCCAAAACGGAAAGGAGTGCCTAACCAGGACGTGACAATCGGACCTATAAAATAATACCTCAACAGCATAGCTTATTTTGACGTATTATTTATAGGTCCGGTTGACACGTCTTGGAAGCTAGCCATGTACATCTTCTTTGTGTGGTTGGTGTGCACCGACTGATTGCAGGAGTGTGCGGCAGTGCCAGTGTCCGATTATGTGTCGTCTGTGCAAGAGAAACACCTTCTTTTATAGGCTTGGCTGCTGGTAGGACGTAGACGCAGTGCCAGCCACTGCTAGCTTACCGGGCACTTTGCTACCATGTCGGATGCAGATTGGGAGATTTTGAGCGAGGGGGGCATGT